TAAGGAGCTTCCTTAGGTCCATCTCTCTTCTCTGCAGCCTTGCTGCTGTTGTTGCTGTTGGTGCTTCTACATGAAGGGTCCTCAACTGTCTCATTCTCTGGTTATGAAGTTAGTAGGACATACACCTTAAGCAGTTTTCTCAGTGGGTTTTCCAGGCATTTCACAGTGATGGTCCTTGTAAGCCCTGACATCACTGGTGCCGGTAGCATGTAGGCATGGCAGGTCACTTTTCCCAGTAGAGCAGACCAGGCTCCACAGGAGAGAAATCCAGGAGTTCCTCACTTGGATAGGGGTCATGGAAAGTGACAGAGTCAAAGACGCTATGGGGTTTTAAGTCTGGAGAAGCAGAATCAACTGGGGAGGTTCTGGATGTTATCAGAACCAACTTCACTGCTTTCAGCAATTTGTAGAGAGGATTGAATGAAAAAATGCAGTCATGCACCAAACATACTTAGAACAGGTGCTATTCAAGAAATGTTTGCCTTAGCAATGAGAGGATGGAGCAGAACAGCTGTTTATAAAAGAGAAGGCCCATCGAGGAAACTATTTTACAGAAACCACAGAGGTCATCTGGCCTGGGATTAAGGGATTGATGATTTTCTAGGGGAACTATTGAGAATGCAGCAAGGAGTCCACTGGGAAGAAATCAACAGTGTGGCAGCTGCAATAAGGGCCCAGTTGAGGCCAGAGAATCACGGTGAACTCTGCTTATCGACAAGTGGTTCTCGGAACTCTGCTGTTCTCACCCTTCAAATGGAAATAATTATACTACCTATCTCATAAGATCATTGTACTACCATTTGTAAATGCTGAGTGCTTTGCCTGACACAAGATGTTAACTCAATAAATGATGGTGGTGGTGGTAATGGTGATGGTGGTGGTGGTGGTGGCAGTGATGGTGATGGTGGTGGTGGTATTGGTGGTGGTGGCAGTGATGGTGGTGGTCATGATGATGGTAGCGGTGGTGGTGGTGGTGATGGTGGTAATGGTGGTGGTGGTGGTGATGGTGGTGGTGATGGTGGTGATAGTGGTGGTGGTGGTAATGGTGGTGATGGTGGTGGTGGTGGTGGTGATGCTGGTGATGATGGTGATTGTGGTGATGGTGATGGTGATGATGGTGGTGGTGGTGGTGGTGATGGTGGTGATGGTGGTGGTGGTGGTGATGATGGTGGTGGTGAAGGTGGTGGGGTGGTGGTGATAATGGTGGTGGTGGTGGTGATGGTGATGCTGGTGATGATTTGGTGGTGGTGGTGGTGGTGGTGGTGATGATGATGGTGGTGATGGTGTGGTGATGATGGTGGTGATGGTGGTGATGGTGGTGATGGTGTGGTGATGATGGTGGTGATGGTGGTGATGGTGGTGGTGGTGGTGGTGGTAAAGGTGGTGGTGGTGATGGTGATGTGGTGATGTGGTGGTGGTGGCGGTGATGGTGGTGGTGGTGGCAGTGATGGTGGTGGTGGTGGTGATGATGATGGTGATGGTGATGGTGATGATGGTGGTGTTGGTGGTGATGGTGGTGGTGGTGGTGGTGGTGATGGTGGTGGTGGTGAAGGTGGTGGTGATGGTGGTGGTGTTGGTGGTGGTGGTGGTGAAGGTGGTGGTGGTGATGGTGGTGGTGGTGAAGGTGGTGGTGGTGAAGGTGATGGTGGTGGTGATGGTGGTGGTGGTGGTGGTGATTTGGTGGTGGTGGCAGTGATGGTGATGGTGGTGGTGATTTGGTGGTGGTGCTGATGGTGGTGGTGGCGGTGATGGTGGTGGTGGTGGTAGTGATGATGGTGAAGATGATGGCAGTGGTGGTGGTGATGATAATAGTGGAGGTGATGTCTCAAGGGAGATTTTATGAGACTCCTATAGGGTAGAACCCACTCTGAGAGAACTGACCTCAATTAAGCTTGATTCCAGTAAAAGCCAAGGCTAGACACCTAAGCTTCAGAGGGACAGAGAAGCTACTCTAAGTAAGAGAGGACAGGGAGTTGATTTTCCTGGGTGAGGATGGAGATTCTAGTGGGAAGAGGGTCAGAAACGAGGCCTCAAAAGACAAAGAACTTTGGGAAAAAAGAAAAATTATTCAGTGGGGAATTACTTTTTCATCTTTGGAATGTGCGACGTTAACCCCTTTCATGGTCTCTTTACATTATCTTCTGTAAAGTCTGTGCTTCTCACTAATGGCTTTGGAAAAGTGTACCTTTTTGGTTATCTTCAAGAGGGATTGAGTTCTGTATTGAGTGTGGCATGTGATTAAAAACAGACTGACCCTATGCATGCAGGATGCAGAAAAAAAGGCGCAGCTGACACCCAGGATGTATTATTATTACTGTGACACAGTGAATCTAAAAGAGGGATCAGTGGATGAGGGACAGGAGATGCAACTAAGAGCTAAGAGTGTGGTTCGTGAGACAGTGAAAGAGCTGAGTGACTCAACCCTAAAGGGAATTGTATCAGGGAGAAGAAAGATGATTTAAACTTCCAAGAAAGGCAGAGGATTACAGACAAGTTAAGCCAGTGTTGAGGGTCTTGAGCGAAACAGCAGCAGACAGTACACTGCCGTGGTGGAGGTCGGTGTTTGTGCCTGAGAACCTTGCTCTTCAGTCAGGAGTGTATGACCTTGGACTTGGGTTAGGATTTGGACTTGAGTTAGGTGTTGGGTTAGTGTGCAGTTTGCACTTCTTTTGTGTGTGTGAGTGATGGTCTGGGAGAGAGACCAAATTTCTTAGGCTCTAGCGGCAGGAATATTCCTTGTGCTCTAATGACATAAGGTAACTTGATTCTCGTGTCTGAAGTATCAGTTAGAGAAAAATAGATTAGGAAAGAGTTCAGAGGTAGCAAACACAGGCAAGGCTTGTTCAGTCAAGCTTGCATTTCAGTACAAAAAGGATTTATTTGAATGCCTACTGTGTGCTTAGCACTATACCTTGGTCTCCAAATTAGAAACACAAGACTGCTTTCATCTCATTAGCAAACACGTTATAAGTGCCTTTTGTATGTTTGGTTCTACATGCTGAAAATTGTCCCAGATGCCTGGAATGTGACTTTTCTTCTTTCCTTTACCTCCTTGCAACTGCCTTCAATATGAAAGCCTATTTATAATTCATTCAACATTAATTTTACTGAAAAAGCATTTGGTTTAGCCAAAACAAACATCAAACTCCATATACTTTTTTCAGTCTCAGAGTGGAAAATCAAAACTGACCTTGTGTCATGATTTACTGTATCTCCTCATCCCAGCCCCACAGGCCCATAAAGAAGAGAATCTGGTGACTGTTTTTTCTCAACAATACCATGACTTCATAATCTGAACTATATCCAATAATACTGATAGGACGGTTTTAAATTATATTGCCTTTAATTTTGTTTTATCAAGGAGGCTATGAAGTCCCTGCTAGTATCTTTCCACTTTGGGAAGTGAAGCCTGTGTTCTTTGTAATAGGCTCTCAATTGTTGCTAGTGCCACGGATGCAATTTTCACCTTTTAAGCTCATTTAAATATCAACACTTCTCTGCCTGCCTCTTGCTGAACAGAGTATTTTTGCACTTTTCAAGAGTTAAATTGAGGGATGCAGTGGCTCACACCTGTAATCCCAGCACTTCGGGAGGCCAAGGTGGGTGAATTACTTGAGCCCAGGAGTTCAAGATCAGCCTGGCCAACACGGCGAAACCAGTCTCTACTAAAATATATATGTATGCAAAAATTAGCCAAGCACGGTGGTGCATGCCTATGGTCCTGGCTGCTTGGGAGGCTGAGGCCGGAGGGTCAGTTGAGCCCAGGAGGCAGAGGCTGCAGTGAGCCGGGATCACACCTCCGCACTCCAGCCTGGGTAACAGAGCTAGACCCTGTCTCAAAACAAAACAATAACAACAACAACAACAAACTTAAAAAAGTAGTTAAAGTGAGGACTAAAATTTCAGATGCTTTTAGTGCTGCACAGTCACCTATGAACAGGGCCTCTTTTAGATTAACGTTGTATCCGCATGTATTAATGTGCTGTATTAGGCAAGCCCACTTAAATCTCTTTTGTCCCCCAGCTGGTATTTTCTGCCTCCACTGATACAAAATGGCTGTCCCAGGACAGGGACACGCTCAAAGCTCAGCTTCTCACAGGGACCTTTGCCTCTCTCAGGGGAGCTTGGAGAATGGGGGAATTGGCCCTCATGGGACAGAATGGAAAAAGGGTCTGTCTTGTGCTGAAAACAGACACTTATATGACTCTATGGGGAATGGGTGCTGTACAATATGCCTGACTCTTGGATTGATTTTTCTAGAACCAAGGAGTAGAGGCGGGGCACCAACCCTCTTCCAGCTGGGGCTCCAAATTCCTGTCTGTAGGATGGCCTCTGCCCGAGGCCAGAAAGAAGGAGCACCGTGAGGTTCAGGACCATCTTCTGCACACCGGCTACCAAGACCAGGAGGCTATTCTATGTTCTGTCTGTCCTCACTGTTTAACCAGAAAGGGCGTGCCCAAGCCTACAGCAGGGGCTGACGGCACCTACAGGTTAGAAAGAGATGGGGTCCATGAGGGTCCTATGTCCAGGGACTGAAAACAATCCCATGGCCCCAGAGACAAAATTACAGCTCAAGTCACCATGTTCACAACTCTAACGTCAACACAAGGCTCCCTCAATCGCCTGGCTGTAAAATAGTTGGATAGTTGTGGTTGGAGATTCAGTGGCCAAGCATGAGTCCCAGGTTAGGTGATCAACCATCCCAGTTTGCCTGGACAGAGAAATTTCCCTGGAAACTTTGGGTTTTAAAGCCAGGAAAGTCCCAGGTAAGCAAGGCTGAACTGATCACCCTGGCAGGGAACGGATTCATTCAATTCTGGATAATTGAATAAAGTCCACATCCTCACCAGGAACATTCTACTGGATGATAATTAGGTCCTTCTAGTTTTGCCTGTTTCTCTTCCGGGACCTGGGTCCATGGGATCACTACCTTATCAACTCTCCCCATACCCAGACCCTGGCTCTCATCCCTACATTGTCCTCTACCCCTTCCTCCACAGGCAGGCCAGAAAGGAGACCCAGGCAGGACAGCCCACGTCTTCGGCTGCACTGGTGAGGGCATCATGCCTGCTCCACACCACATTTTTATTCAAAGTATTGTATTTGCAAACAAAAATGAAGTCCCACAAATGCGGGACTCCACCTGACTCTCAAAAAGAAAATAAATCACAAGTGTATTTTAAACGTTACATTTAAGATTAGCAAACTGCAATCAAATGACTGATACTTTATCCAGAAAGCAACAGACATTCTTTTCTCGGTTGTGCTTCTTTGTTAAAGCATCTTGCCTCCCAGAGGTATAATGCGATCCCCAGGAGCAAACACTGAAGTGCACTAGAGTAATACCTTTCAAGCGCGGTGGGTGTGGTTCCAGCTGGATTCTAATTATGGCAGAAAAACAGCAACTATGACCATCAAACCAATCAAAATGATGTGAAACGCAATTTCTTTTTTTTTTTTTTTTTCTGAGATGGAGTCTCGCTCTGTCCCCCAAGCTGGAGTGCAGTGTGGCGCGATCTCGGCTCACTGCAAGCTCTGCCTCCGGGGTTCACGCCATTCTCCTGCCTCAGCCTCCCGAGTAGCTGGGACTACAGGCGCCCGCCACCGCGCCCGGCTAATTTTTTCCACTTTTAGTAGAGACGGGGTTTCACCGTGGTCTCGATCTCCTGACCTTGTGATCCGCCCGCCTCGGCCTTCCAAAGAGCTGGGATTACAGGCGTGAGCCACCGCGCCCGGCCCGAAACGCAATTTCTTAATTTCAGTCTCAAACTGTACCTGAGCCAATGGATGTGAAAGTCTGATGTCCGTGTGGATTCAGATCCTGATTCCCTCAGGCATGGTACTTAGCATTCTAAGCCTCAGTTTCCTCATCTGTAAAATGACATTCCTATCTCACACAGGCAGTTAGCCGAGGCCTGATGTGCAGAAAGTGCTCAGCTGCTGTGACTCTTCACCCCTCCTGTGAGATGCCTTCTTTAACCCCACAGATGTGTATCATATGATGGCCAAGGCAGTTTCATGAATCATGGCATCTCAAGGGAACTGGAGCAGATGAGGAGGAGATGGAGGTCCCAGGAGGGGCTGTGATCTGCTTGGGGTCCCACAGTGGGAAACAGGAATAATCTCTCCAGACTCCCTATCCAGTGCTCTTTCCACTACACCTGGCTGTCAGTCTCCCATAGGACAAGAAAAAACAGTCAAAAAGGAAATTGAAGGGATGTTTGTTTTTATCCCTGTTCTTTCCTTGGTTCTATCTGTTCTGTTCTGGGTATTTTGTTTGTTTGTTTTTATTTGTGTACTTTTTTTTTTAATGAAGCTTCCATCATGTAGGAGTAAGGTGCAGAAATCTGAGTCGGTGGCTGCCCTAGTATAAGACCATAACCTTCATTTTGGTGGGCAACAACATAATTTCTGCTCTGAGTCCCATTTTCTTGCAGTGGAAGCTTAATCTCAGAGTATCAAAATCATTGCATCTGAGCGTGGGCCTGCCCACGTCACGGGAGGAGGAGAAGGATGAGTAGATGATGTTTCATGGAGAGGACCTGCCAGTATCCCCCATCCCTGGCCTTCATCTTTCTCATCTGCCCTTAACCACAGAACCCTGGGAGGAGGCTCCCTCGGTGGCTCCTGTGCTCTCGCAGGCCCTGTGAACGTATATGCTTCCTGGTGGGAAGAGCAAGGGAGCCTCTGGTGGAAAGCAGCCCAAGGGTCCAAAACCACACAGCCTTGCATTAGGGCCCCCAGGGAGGGGGAAGACCAAGGTCGTGCTTTTGAACCTGGATGCCAGAAGAGAACAGCTGTGGGGAAAAGCACGTCTGGAACCAAGAAAAACATGTTTACCAGGGGCCATTCCTCACACCAGCTGCAGGGAGGGTCAGGAAAGCCACAGGCTGCACTGCAGTTGCGACCTTGCATGTGGACGCAAGGCTCAGAAGGTTCCTCAAAGTCCCTAACATGTTCCCAGAGTCAGGCTGAGTCCATTCAAACATCCACCCGCCCTGGCCACACTCACTACACCTGACTTCCCTGTCTCATGAGTTAGAGAAATAGTACAGATTCTGGGTGATGCTGGGCAGGTGGGAGGGAATGGGATAGGAAGGGGAGAGAGAGGGAGCAAGAGTGAAGGCTGTTTGGGTTTTTGTCTATAACATATGTATATACACTCACCAAGTCCATTATTTAAAACCTCTTTCATGGTTTCAATTTCCTGTGGACCACTTTTCATGTCCATTTTAAGTTCCTTGAAGGCGAGGAGATACATGTGTATCTGCCAGCTTCACTGTGCCTTATCTCTTAGGCAATCAATAAATATTAGTAAATAAATCAAAGGATGCCTGATACTCTAAAAATGTCTTATTATTTTTAGGTGATTTGAGCAAAGCACACGCACTGTGTTTGCATCTGGGAACCACATTTTTAATTTAAAAAAGTTATTTGTAGGCCGGACACAGTGGCTTACGCCTGTGATTCCAGCACTTTGGGAAGCCGAGGTGGGCGGATCTCTTCAAGCCAGCGGTTCGAGACCAGCCTGGCCAACATGGCAAAACCCTGTCTCTACTAAAAATACGAGAATTCGCCAGGCGTGGTGGTGCATCTCTGTAATCCCAGCTACTGGGGAGGCTGAGGCATGAGAATCTCTTGAACTGCTCCTTTTTATTGCTGAGTGATATTCCATTCTATGAAGCTCAGTTTGCTTATCCGTTCTCCTGTTGATGAACATCTGATGTTTCCAGTTTTCCTCTTGGTGATTCTTCTTGTAAACATAATTTTCATTTCTCTTGGGAAAAACCCCAGGAGTGGTACTGCTGAGGGGGTAGGTGTTTGTATAGCTTTATAAGAAGTTACCACATCCTTACTAATATTTAAGTTAAAAGTGTAGAGGTATCTCATTGTGGTTTTAATTTTTATCTCCCTGATGAGTAATGATAAGTATCTCTTCATATCCCTAATGGCTATTTGAGTATCTTTTTTGTGAACCGTCTATGCAAACTGTTTCATTCATTTCTGATTGATTGTTTATCTTTTTACTATTTAGTTAAGAGAGTTCTTTATAAACCCGGGATTTCAATCCTTTTTCAGATGTTTTGTAAATATTTTCTCCTCTTCTATGGCTTGCCTATTTATTTTCTTAATGGTATCGCTTATCAGCAGAAGCTTTTAATTTTGACAGGGACAAATTTTTTCATTTTCTGTTGTTTATTGCTTTCTGTGGCCTGTTTGTCTATCAAACATTTGCCTATCTCCAGGTTATGAAGATATTCTCCTATATTTTCTCTAAAAGTTTTATGATTTTTATATTTAACTCTGCAATAATTTAGAATTAATTTTTGTATATGATGTGAGAAATAAGTTAAAGTTTTCTTTGTTCGTGTGTTTCCATCTGAACATCCAGTTAGTACAGCACCATTTCTTGAAAAGACTTTTCTTCCTCCATAGATTGCTTTGGTACCTTTGGCAAACAAATGACCATGTAATCATGGGCCTGTTTCCAGCTCTCTTGTTAGATCCACTGATCTATGTGTCAATCCCCATGCCAGTAACATACTGTCTTGATTATAAAACCAACAATGTTGGTATTATAATGTTTTAAACTCATGTAGTTTGAGCACTCCAGATTTATTTTCCTATTTCAAGATTGTTATAGATACACTAGATTCTTTGCATGTCTATATAAATTTTAGAATCAGTTTGTAAATTTCTACAACAGATGTCTGCTAGCATTATTACTGGGATTGCAATAACTCTACAGATCAATTTGCGGAGAATTGACACCTCAACAACACTGAGTCTTCCAATCTGCAAACATGATACTCTGTGTGTGTGTGTGTGTGTGTGTGTGTGTGTCTTCTTTAATTTCTTTCAATAATGGTTTAGTTTTCAACATAGAGATCTTGTCCATCTTTTGTTGTTTATTCATGAGTATTTTATGTTTTTTGAAGATACTGTAAATAAAATTGTTTTTCTAATTTCATTTCTCAAATTCTTGCTGCTGATATAGAAAAGTATAATTGATATTTTAATATTAACCTTGTATCCTGTGACTTTGTTCAATAGATGTATTAGTTCTAATACTTGTTTCTTGCATTTCTTAAGATTTTCCACATAAACAATCACATCATGTGAAGAGTGAGTTGTAATTCTTCTTTTTAAAATCGTTACGCCTTTACTTTTTTTTTTCACTTACACTATTGCAATAGTTAAGACTACCTAAAATAAGTTGGTAAGTGTTCTTGCCTCCTCTGTTTTCTTTTTGAAAGAGTTTGTGAAATAATGATACTATTATATTTCTTCCTTAAATGTTTTATAGGACTAATGAGATAACCTTGACCAAACTTTTCTTTGTGGAAGATTTTAAAAAATAATACATTTTGGTTGGACACAGTGGTGCATGCCTGTAATCCCAGCACTTTGGGAGGCTGAGGTGGGCAGATCTCTTGAGCTCAGGAATTCGAGATCAGCCTGGCACAACATGATAAAACCCTGTCTCTACAAAAAATACAAAACTTAGCCAGGCATGGTGGCTTGCACCTCTCACCTACTTGGGAGGCTGAGGTGGGAGAATCACTTGAGCCTGGGAGGTCGAGGCTGCAGTGACTGGAACAACACCTTAGCACTTACGCCTGGGTGACAGATCAAGACCCTGTCTCAAAAAATAAATTAATTAATTTAATTAAATTCAATAGCCTCTCATACATGAGTTATGGTACATTGTGTTTTTCAAGGAATTTGTCTATTTCATCTAAGTTGTCTATTTTGTTAGCATAATGTTTTTATGCTTTTTAAAAATGCTTGTAGCATTTTCAGTGATAACTCCTCTTTCATTCTGATATTGATTATTTGTATTCTCTCTCTTTTTCTTAATTAGTCTACTTAGAGTTGATCTTTTCAGAGAGCAGACTTCTGGCTTTGTTAATTTTCTCTATTCTTTGTTGTTATCTCATTTATTTCTGTTATTATATATAGAATTTCTTTCCTTTCTACTTACTTTGGGTTTTCTTTCCTTTTCTTGTATTTTTCCCCTCCCTTCCATTCTCCCTCCTTTCCTCCTTTCTCCCTTCCTTCCTTTCTTACTTTTTTTCTTCTGTCTTTCTTCC